TCTTTAAATTCATTTAATTGTTTAGTAGGTACACATTAAGTTAGTAGTATGCATTAAGTTTAAAGTGGGTGGCCCTTAAAATATAATACTGATTTATATTATATTAAAACTACAATTTTGACAAATGAAACAATTTATATTTGATCTGTAAGTTAATTTATAAGGTAATATTATATGATTGAGTAAATTAAATTTATATTGGTATATATTTTTTGTATTATTTTGGTACTTATTGCTGTACCTGCTTTTTAGAAAAATGCTAATACAAATGCTGTGAAAAAGTTAGCTTACCTATCTTAATAAAACCGCTATTCCCCAGGAAAAAGATCAAAATTGGTACCTAAATAAAGTGAATAATTAATTGCATGTCATATATTTAGTACCTATTCATATACAATTTGTTGAAATTATATTTATATTAATTTAATATCTTTAAATATATCAGGATATTTTGTTAAAAAATACTTCTAAATTAATTCAAAGAGAAAATTCTGTTAAATAAATAATAGTAAATTTTTTGGTTGATTTGTGTAATATAAAAGTGATAAATATGTATTTCAACATACAAATACAATTATAAATATAAATAGTACATATTATACAAATCTAAATGGCGGCTGCTATTTAAACTATAAATTTTGTAAAATCAAAGAATTGTTTTATTTTATGTATTCATATATTCTTTATGAAAATTATACATATCTTATTGACGGTAGTCGGTAAGTAATTATATATAGGTACCCTATTTATAGCGTATATTCATAATATATAGGTACCAATTACCAATAGATACAACATGACAACATGTGTTTAAGCCTTTAAAGTTGAAATAGTTTTGTTGAGTTTACGTACTTGTAATGTTTAATATAGAATAAAATATAACATTTTGAGGGGGTGGGGGGATAATCCCCCCAAAAGTCTGTCCAACCTAGAAATTGATTGCAACCCTAACAATTTAGCCCAATTTACGCCACTGGTATGCTCCAGCAAACTGCCACTTCGAAACCAATCCGCCATCGGACGAGGCAGTGTCCACCCCGACCGACGTGTGAGGGCTCGGTGTTAATCGCTCAACACCGAGGGGCCCCCTCACATCCCGAAGCACCATTCTCGCCTCCCATTAGGTAAGGCACATCAATGGTGGGATGCTCGGACGAAGCGTCGTTGGCGGCAAGCCTCTGCTTATGGTCCTCCCGAGATTCGGGCCGTGTACCACGGGCTCACGGTGGGCCCAACTCCGCCTCCCCGAGGCGTCACCAGGTGGCTAAGCCCAGTGACCGACCCGCTCTTCACGAGGTCGCGGTCAAAACCTCACAACGCCCTAATCCCCGTAGGTTTCGGTGCGTCCGCGCCCCGGGCGCCGACCCCGACTGGTTATTTTCCCCTTTAGTCGCCTTGTACGACAAGCAGGGAATACTGATGCGAAATTCTGTACGGCCCTCGCAACGTTCTCCCGTTTCTGCCACTTACGCCTTACATGCTCATCGGGAACACCCCGAGACTGTGCCTTCCGTCGTAGACGGGGCAGCGTTCTAACTATTTTTCGTTCAATGGTATTCTATAAATTATGTTTTGTTCAATGATATATAATATAATTTTGTTAATCGTTAATCGTTATAATTACGCTTACGCATTTGTCAAATATAGATAACGTTATTATTACGTTTGCAAACCCTGTACCGGCTGTACCTACCTATTAATATCGCATTATATTATAATAATATTTTATACCTGGTGGGTAGGTATAACCGATATCGGTAACCAAACTATACCTGTCGTCTGCCGTACACAATTGTTCAACAATAATTAAACCGCTCCCAATGGCTTAAGTTGCCGCGGGATACTTAATAAAAAAAAAAAATAAAAATAATTAAACTTTTGTAAATTAATCAAAAGTCCCTTCATAATTGTATAATAATTACATAATAATAACATAATTTAATGTAGGTATATTGTATGATATAGTACAAATACCTATAGTATAACGACCATGAAGCACAACAACAACCGTGAAATCCGATACATTATTACAATATTCTGCACCTTTACTCTTATACCTATCGAAACGTTTAACATAGGTAGTATCGGACTGGATAAAATTAAATGGTTATAATTTATGTTCATTAAAATATAATAAGATAGATAGATAGATAGGAATCGTTTAAATTTTTATCAGAGGCGACATGAACATTTTATCCACAATTGATCGCAATGTTAACATCTAATAACCGATTAATAATTTTTATTTTGTTAGGTATTCAAATTTTATTATCTTAATATTGTTGTACAATATTAATGTAACCTATAACTTCCAATAATAAAATATACTCTATGTACAAAATGCATTAATAATACTATCTTTCCAGTTCCCTTATGTGGCTAAATGTAAAATATATATTATACAACAACTATATGATTGTATTATATTATATTGTATTCACCGTAATATAATGTTTGTAATTTGTATAGTGGTTTTGGCATTCATTGAGGAGGCTATCCTTGTACCTATTCCTGACTAGACATATTGACGCGAAATTAATAAACTAACCTTTATAGGTAGTCGCTGTCCAGGTTTAATATCTTTTTTCTATTCTGTACTCTGTACGAGAGCAAACCGTTTTATTTAGTTAAGTACTATTGTTTTTTGTTTAAAATGTCAGAAAAAAGAAAGACTCTTTATATTTTTTTTTTAAAAAATCATCCAAAGCTTATGCGAGTAAGTAGTAAACGCCAAGTGCTTATTATTTTTTATTTTACAAGAAACAAGTTAGAAACTATTTATAATTAATAATTATTATGTCCTCTAGTCTCTAATAATTCGGTAGTTACATCAGCATCATTTAGTTCTACACCAACTTCCATTTCAAGTAATTTGACTTAATTTTAAACTATTTTATATTTTATATTTTATAATATATATAATTTTATTTTATAATACCATGTGATATATAATTTTAAAAATAATTATTTTATCACCTTCTTGTTCTGTACCTAATACTTCAAATGATTTTGATCAAGTCAATCAAATGTGTTCATCTAAATCAGTTAAGTATTTCTAATTGTTTTTCTTGTTCACATTTATGTGATGTAATTGTCAATGTGTGTGTTTATGTTAATGGTTGTATTTCATGTAACTTCATATTGTAATGAAAGTTTCAAAATAACTAATACATTAATAAAATAAAATTTATTGTTGATAATCATAGTATTTTGTGATTTTATAGTAGAACCTAGATACCTAGTAGATGAGTATATTAATTATATATTATAGCAGTGAAAACAATTTTGTACAATGTATGTGTTTTATAATATGTATTTTATATATTTTTGTGCTTTATGCCAATATTTACTTTTAAATGTTAGTGAATTTGAAGCAGGATCTTATATTGACATGTTACTAATATATTGCTTAATACTTATACTTTTCAATTGGTTTTGGTTTAAGAATTAGTTATTAATAATTTTAATAATAATAATTTTATTTCATGTATTTATTTGTAATTTATTGACAAGTTTGTAAGCCTCAGCCTTTCGTACTTTCATGTTTTATGTATGATAATTGATAAATTTAATCTTATTATATGTGTTTATATTTTATACCATGTAATTTGTATAGCTATTTGTTTAAATGTGGTGTGTTAAATAAATTATATAACTAATTATTTGTGAATTAATTTCAATTATTTGTGTGTTATGATCCATGATATACTTGTTTATAATTTAATTTTTGAATTACATAATAACAGTCAATCTCAATTGATTCCAGAATCTGAAAAAAATCTACTTGAAACACATTTTGGTCCTGCAAATCATGCATTAAAGTCTTATTACGGTACTGGTCTAGTTGACCCCCGCCGAGAAAATATTCCCCCCGCCACTCAGGTTTAGTTGATGCCCGCAACTTAAATCTCTCGTGTTTTCGATTTTCCATAGTCAATAATCAATAATTTAAAATATAATTACATAATATTATAATATTATATTTCATAAAAAAAAGTAAGAAAATGATTTAAACCATTTATCATACATTCTTTCGGTATTTATAGATACATAATATATATGAATAAATAAATCGTAAAAAATTATACACTACATTAGCTAATACATTTAAGCTAGAAATTCAAGTAATTAAAATAAAAATAGATAAATAATGTACATCATAATATATGAATAAATAAATAGTAAAAAAATATATATCATTCACATATTATTTATACAAATAATAATGTAGAAAATAATAAAAAATTATGCAGGTGGCCAAAATTTTGCTATGTCCTTCGAAATTTCATTAAATGGATAGCAGCCGTTTAATTTACTTCGCCACATAAACTCTGACAAATAAGAATCTAGGAAGTATCTGATTAGATTAGAGAATTGCATACCAATACGCCTAACGTGTGTGATTTCGTACCTTTTTATCTGCAGTATATAATATATTCTACATCGAATGACTAGAACTTCGAAAACACGAGAGATTTAAGTGGCGGGCGTCAACTAAACCTGAGTGGCGGGGGGAATATTTTCTTGGCGGGGGTCAACTAGACCAGTACCCTTATTACCTAGTGATTTTGAACCTAACGATTTCAAAGAACATTTTAACAACAAGTTCAAAGAAATATTGTAAATGAGATCAAAAAAGCTAAATTATTCAGAATTTCAATTGATGAGACTCAAGACTTATCTAGACATGAGCAAGTATCGTTTATTGTGCGTTATGTAGATGATATGTTTCAACCACATGAAGTTTTCTTATGTTTCTACAAAACCAATAAAACTGACAGTGAAACGCTTATCAATTTAATTAAAGAAGTACTTTCAGAAAATGATTTGAAAATAGAAAACATTCGTGGCCAGTGGCCATGATGGCGCTGCGTCTATGAGAGGGTCATATACGGGAGTCCAGGCTAGGATTCGACAAGAAAATCAAACTGCCATATATGTACATTGTTACTCACATATTTTGAACTGGCTTCACTAAACAAGTTTCGTTTGTCAGAAATATGTTTGGCACTATGCAAAGCTTACATAATTTTATCCGAGCATCTTCAAAACGACATGTTGTGTTTGAATCAACATTGCTGGAATTTTCGAAAAAAAGTGGTCCGTCAACATTGAAGATTTTAAGTGATACCAGGTGGAGTTGTAGAGCTGAAGCATTAAATTCAATTTTATTAAATTATGAAGTGATAATCAAAATACTTGAAGAAATATCCGAAACTGATATTTCATGTGGCCCTGAAGCTACTTATTCATTATTAAAAAATATTTGCGACTTTAAATTTGTGTTTTGTTTGGTATTTATTAAAGATGTTATGACCCATACAAATATATTATCTAAATATCTACAGTCTATCAACATGAATTATGCTGCTGTTATTAGTATGTCAACTCAAAGTATAAATATTTTTAAAGAAATGCGATCAGATAAAAAGTTTGATGAAATGTGGGATAAAGTAATTGAAATAGCAATAGAAAATAATATCAAACCTCCCCAAGTACCTTGAAAAAAAAATGTATCAATTAATATGTATTAATATTAATTATATCAATGTAATAAATTACATTATTGACTAATTATTTTAATTTGTATAATACAATTTACTTACTTCATATTAATGATAATATTAAATTGTGCATACAATTTTGATCGAGGAACTATAATTGAGTAATAAGTTGTAAATAAATTTGCAAGTGAAACGAGGGATTTTGAAATTTTGTAGAAAGTTTGTAACTTTCCTGATTAGTTTTGCACCCCATGAATTTTAGAGAAATTATGATTATGATTGTGGTAGTTATTTAACTTGACCATAACGACGAAGAAACGCATATTTTAGGCGACTGAAACTCAATGTAGACTGTAATAATAATAATAATAATAATAACTATAATAATACGCGTTTCATATATACCTAATACAGAATAATAAAGCCTCGTCGGATGCTTCTTTTCTTTTTCGATAGCCGCCGAATTCCGATATCGATTTCTAGTCGTATAAGTACATGCTCTGTTCAAAGGCTTCAATCAGTGGTATTGGGATGGCGCAAGGTGGCACATGTTCCCACTGAATTTTCCAAGTATATTATACGTTTATACATAACATCCCAATTATATTATAATTGATACATTGAATAATGGCAATTAATAGTCACAAAAATTAGTTTTATATACATCAATAATATAAATTATATTAATATAAGAACAATATGTTGATCATTTTATAACGTAGTTCAATGATTTTAACAACAGATTTATTATCATCGATATATTATAACTTAATAATAAGTATAGTATAATTTATTATCTGGATCATGTATGCTTAGTATACATACAATTCAAGATTTAAATTTAGTTATAAAGGTCATTGAGGAATTTAAAAAAAAATAAACTTACCTACAGTACAGTTTTCGTTTTAACATTTAACTATCTTCTTTTTTACTTTTTTAAGCAAGTAGTATTTGTATTAATTAAATAATAAAGAGCATTATTTATGTTATATATTTTACATTTCATTAGGAAATATAACTGTATAGTTATGATAAATTGATAAAACAAAATATACAGCCATGTACTATTATGACACGTAATCTTACATAAATTATACAATGATAATATCTGTGCCCAAGTCATGAGAGTGAGGATAATTCACCAAATTCAAGGTACAATAACGGAGCATCGGCACGCGCCGCTGAACGCTTTGCGGCCCCGGGCACAATGGTAATCGATTTGCGGGGGAACGCCGGAATAAAGAACAGGACGGTGCCAATTCAGTGGCGTAGCCAGGAATTACCCAAGGGGGGGGGGTTTAATGACTTTTATTTTTGCTCAACTCTAAAATATATTGCTCAGGAGTGGTAAAACTAAATGCGCTAAAATGTACCGAGTTATACGCTTATATACGCTTATTTAGTACCTTATTTAGTAATACATTTTTTTTTTATTAACTGAAGGTGAATAATAATTATATTTATTTATGTTAATATTAAACACGCAGTACATACTTATTGACTTATTATTATAAACAAGTAAAAATAGAAAATAAAAACAAATTTAAATTGTAATATTTATATTAAAGTTAATATATTTTTTCACATTATAAATTACAAGCTATAGCAATCTTATTTTTCTTGAGTCTTTTGCAAAGTCATTAAGAACTTCATCTGTTGTTAAAATAATTTTACGATGAATATTTGGTAGTGCTAAACTATTTAGGGCCGTTCTTACGACGTCCGGTTAAAGTTAACCGACACTTAACCGGAAGAATTCTGCCGGTAATAAAATCTGTTATCAGTCGGTTAGAGTTAACCGACACTTTACCGGACATTGTAAGAACGGCCCTTAATCTGTTTTCTCCAATAGTATTTCTAAGGTATGTCTTAAGTCTTTTTAACGTAGAAAATGACCTTTTACTGCTTGCTGTAGTTACGGGAAGTGTAGCTATTATTTGGAGAAGTTTATAAGTAAATGGTAAAATGAGTGGGTTACATGCTATAAGAGCTTCTAATGCATTTTTTGGTTTTTCTGTTCCAACAAATTTTTGTGTCCATGTCAATACTTCTCCAATTACTGAATCTGAACTACATTGAAGATCTTCACTATACTTTTCTGCCAAACTTTTTATGTTTTCTTCTCTATTTGGCAAATTATTGTTTGGTAAGAGACAGCAAAAATTGGTAATTAGAGATTTATGTGCAATGAACATATCATGAAGTTGACTAATAAAATTATCTAAAAATGGAATAAACAATGATATTTTATAGTATTCATTTGGACAAGTAGTTTTTACATTAAACCGATTTTTTCGTATGTTTGTTAAACGAGGTAAAGTTATTTCAATATCAAGTGACATACATTTTTCTTTCACTTTCAAAAATAGTTTCTTAAAATCCTCATCTGCATTATTTCTGATATTTTTTAACACATCATATACATTATCTGCCAGAGACATGGCTTCAAATTTCAATCAAATCAATATTTTGCATTTTAAGAAGTTTACTAAGAGGTAAACTTATGCTAAATACTTTTGCTAGCAGATGTGTTGCCAAAATAAATTCAGGTTGCTTAATAGCACACAAAAGTTGATAAGCTCCTGATGACGATTCTCTGTCTGGCCATGTAGAAATAATTGATAATCCATCAATAACTGCATCAAATAATTAATAAAAATATAAATAGAACAATATTACCCGTCGCTGTCGTCGGGTCATACATACACGATACACGCCATAGACATATACATATTATGTTTATATAATTCTGAGTAGATGTGGGATCGTTCGGTCGTCGGTGCGATAAGCACGCGACGATCACCGAATAGCGTCCCACAGCCGTACATAGAAAATACTAAAATAATATTAAATAATAATAAAAATAAAAGTATTAAAATCATACAATAAAAACATTTTTTTTTTTTTAAGGCCAAGGGGGGGGTTTTAACCCCTAAAACCACCCCCTGGCTACGCCACTGGGTGCCATTATTGTGTCAATAATACCGTCGACGACACAATACCACCGTTTATATAACAAAAAAAAACCTGTTGAGGGTCTTAGTGTTATTATTATTATTGTTGTTGATGTGTCCACTGCTGTTGGCTCCACTCCGGATGCGCATATAATTGTTATATCGGTATTTTGTGCAAGCATAATGTACTGATTTTTTTTATTGATAAAGTAATAATTTGCAACACAGCATCTACGGCCATTAGTTATAGTCAAGTAGGTAAAGGAGTTAGTTACATTGGGTATACTGTATACATTATGATAACATGTTCTGAAAATTAAAATATAGTGTTTCGTAGCTGAAGTTAATGGGTTTTTCATTGTTGCTGAAGTATTAGTTGTAGACTAATACGATTTAGGTACCACTATCGGTGTTCGCGAGAAAATAATGATGATTGAAGTATAAAACTAAAACAGCGTACAAATGTTACATTCTCTAATGAAAAAAATGTCGTGTTGAACAGGGACGTAGCCAGAATATTTTTCTGGGTTGGCCGAAAAGTGGAATTCCCATGTTTAGGTATATATTATATAAATTTAAAAAAACTACGTAGTCGTGGTACAGCGGAGCGGTGGTCGCGGTACTATCGGACGGTCGTTTTGTTTGTGATGTTCGGTGGAGGGGTGACGAGGTGTTGCGCGTCGTTTTACAGAAATATTGAAATAATATTTATCCATACATTTGGGAATTATAACCGTTGCGGTCGCCGGAAGTCATTAGATAATAGATAGATAATCACACACATTTTCTTATCCGTATTATGTACACAATTATTTTATTAAAAAGGTACAATATACATTTTAATCTATATTATTTAGAAAAAATATAAGAGTTAAATATATTATTATTGTACTCGACAAAGAGTGTTTCTCATCTCTCAAGCACTACAAAAAATAAAATCGAGCCGCAGTGCCTCACGCGCTCCAAAACAATATAATACCTATCTAATTACGATATTTGATTGAGAAAAAGAACCTAACCTATACCTGATAATAAAATAGAATTATGATAAATATTATCCATCATAAAAATCAAAATCGATTTTCAATCAAAGTGAAATATATGATAAAAATTGTGATATAATTATAATATTATTACCTAGGAAATTGAGAAACTTCTTCCGCCGGTGATTGAGTGTAGTTATGATGTGGACATGGAGTTTGCCATTGTGAGTGGTATGCTATCGTTTCACAGAAAAATTACTAACCAAAAATGGATATTATTTAATAATAATATTCATTACAGTCGACGAACACCGTATATTGTAAAGTCGTGAAAGAGGAACGAGGAACGTCGAATTGTGCAGACGCGGAACGAGTTGGAAGACCGTGGACTGAGTGGGACGACGGTGAAGGAACAAGTGAGCAGCCATGATATAAACAACATGGTATGATCTCAAAAGTTCAGATATGGTCCATGTCTCTTGTTTACCCGTATTATCATTTTGTCATTAAATTATTATTACTATACACTTCGCTACGTCATGTGCTTACCGAAGGACCTCACTATGAAAGAGTTACGATCACACCTTGTTGTTATATCATGTGAGCAGCAATAGACGAGTAGTATAACTATACAGTGCTACAGATCGATTACGGCGACGTCGTCCGTAAGAGGTGAAAATAAGTTGGACAAAGTATAGGTACATTATATTAAAGTTAATAACACGAAATTAGATCTGCTGAACGTAAGTTTGCTATAATATATTCATTATATTGTATGTACCTACACTTATTATACAAATAGTTCATATTTTAGGGCTTAAGGCTCAGCCCTTAATAATTAAAGGATAGTAAAAATCGAACCTACATTATTAGCTACAGAAAATAAAATGAACATTTTCAAAAACCGTTCTTGATACCGATAAATTCAAAAAACCTCTTTGAAACCGAAAACCAAAACCAAAAAAATTGAAAAACCGATCTAAAACCTCAACCAAAACCAGAAAATGTAGAAAACCACTCTCAAAAACCAAAACCATTGACAATTTGAAACGGTTTCGATCCC